AGAACCTGATCGACCCCGAATCGGCGGCAGAGGAGGCAGGGCAGCGGAAGAACGGCGGCAGAGTATGAGGAGCACGAGGAGGATGAGGCAGGACAGCGAGAGGAAGAGGCAGCGCGGGAGGGGGGAAGAGGAGCAGGAGGAGGAGGAGGAAGAGGCGGCGGGAGGAGGAGGGTGAGAAGGGGTGGGGAGCAGAAGGATGAAGTGGAAGGGAGGAGCAGCACACTCGTGCAATCGTGATGAAAATGACCTCTCCGCGGTCGCTGCCATGAAGGTGCGGGCGAGCGCCATTGCCAGAGTGCGGGACCAGCGGCGGCAAGCTGACAGAGACGGATATCGAAGGCGCCGCATGCTCCCAGCAGGCCCCCAAGAGGCCTCCCAAGAGCCCACCCTAAGAGGCCATTGATCCAGACGCAGGCACGCTGGCGGGATGGGCCGAAGGCCACTACATGCGCCGCCCCCAGCGCTTGCAAGAAAACTGTTCGGCGTGCCTGGCCCTCCCGTAAGTTCCCAGCGGTCTTCGGCACGACCTGCCAGCCACCTGAAGGCCGCGCCATGACCACGAAAGCCTTTCATGCCTGGAGAATTCGGCAACAAGACGGCAACGATGGCGCCAGATGGCTGCCAAGACTGCTTCCAAGACCCCATACATTCCAGCAGCCCAAGAGGCCTCCAAGACGCCCCAAGAGATCTCCAAGAGGATCTCCTGAGAGTCCGAAGAAGACACATTGATCTCTGTCTGTGCTTACTTCTATGATTCTCGCGCGTTCGCCTTTTCAAAGTCCCGGCAGCTGAAGACGGCATCCCAAATGGGCCCGTCTGCCCAAGAGGCCCCCAGGAGGGCTCCAAGACGACCCGAGATGCCTTCAAGACGGCCCCAAGATGGCCCAAAAGGGCCCCAAATGCCCCGAAGATGGCGATAAAGTCGTTCAATAGGGCCCAACACGGCACAGAGATGCCCCCTAAGACGGTCTCCGAATGTGCCAGGCAGCCCAAGCGCGCCCGAAGTCGGCCCAAGAGGACCTCCAAGAGGCACCCAAGATGCCCCAGAGGCCCCCAAGAGGCGTCCAGGGAGCCCCAGGAGGCGCCCAAGAGGCTTCCTCCTCCTCCTCCTCCAGCTTCTCCTCCTCTTTTTCCTTCTCGTCTCGTCTTCATCCCTCTCTTCGTCGTCCTCCTCCTTCTCCTCCTCCTCTTCCTCCTCCTCCTCCCTCAAGTGTGCCCTCAAGGGTTTCCACAACGGCGGGGATTGGCCAAACTCAAGTCCACAATTTGTCCGCGTAGGCGTTCCCAGAAAGGCGCCTGTTCAGGCTTCCGACAGCCGAAGACGGCCCAAGAGGCCTCCAGAATAATCCCTAAACGACTCCTGCGCGTTCAAGGGGGGTCTCGAACGACACAAGAGGGCCCCACGATGGTTCCAGGAGAATCCCCAAAACGGCTCAAACATGGCCTCAGAGAGCCTCACAACATTCCCAAGACGGATCGAAGGGGCCCGGGAGGACTCCAAGGACCGATTAGACTGGCTCAACTCGGCTCTCGAGGGCCTCAGGAGGCCTCAAGACGGAGCAGAGATTCTGTCCAGACGGCCTGCGACGGCGCCAGGCGGGCCACTAGCGCTCTACGACGGCCCAACAAAGCCCCAACATGACCCAAGATAACCCCAGGAGGCCCCCAAGATGCTCCCAAAAAGACCCCTCTAGCGTGTTCACCCAAATATTCCCTGACGTGTCGGGGAACACCCCGATCACCACCATTGCCGCACGGACGCTCAACATTCCACCCGCCACACAAGCGTTTCCAGAAGGCAGGAGCGGCAATGACTCCCTGGAAGCCTCTTCGTTTCGCCGCCCCCGAAACCAACTCGTGCTTGGCGTGCCGAATCTGCAATTATTTCTGGTACTTTGTTTTGTTGCCGAGGGGTACTCTTAGAGTGTCTCAAGGGCATCTGTGAGAAAACTCTGTACAGTCGAAGGACGATTGCGCCGACAGGGCGTGCCCAATCCTTTTGCCGGTTGCCGTGAGCGCTGTACCGCTGGCAAGGGGGTGACTGTGTCCCTCCCGGCGACTGGTTGCAGCGAGCTCTCGGGTCTGGGTGTCCAGCCTCTGCAATTCAGCTTCGGTCAGAGAGGGCAAACCCATGGCCAGAACCGCTCGCTGACACTTGGTCCGCCTCCTGTCCGTGAGATGCCGCAGCAGTCTGTGTCTCTGCCTAAATTCTGTCCCACAAGACGGGCAGACACTGATATCAGCGATAATCAACGACATTGGGTTCCGTCTCTTGTGCTTGATCCGCTGATGCTGTAGCAAGTCTTTCTCGCAGGCAAAGCGAGCAGCATCACCTGGAGGACGCAGCGTGCAAACGAACGACTTGACAGCAGACCCCTGGGGTGGCGCGTCCTTATCACATACTGATTCGCAAAAACGAATGCGACTGACAAGGCTACCCAATTCCGACGGATGCTCAACCATGAATTTTTGCCACCGGTCACCGTCAGCATCAGGGTCGAAGCCACGAAGCTGATCTGGCAACGGGAGCCGTTGGCACATGTAGCGCAGGTCATCACGGATTTGAACAATCCATGGGTGGATTCTTCCACCACGCGCATCTGATAACAAGGCGAGAAGAGGCCTCCGTTGGCACATGCACAAGCGGGCAAGGTAACAGAGCCTCCTCCGCCGTATGATACAATCGACGCTGTCGATCTGGTGACGTCGACGGACCGTGTAATCAGACTCACATGAAGCATCAAACTGAGGACACCCACAAATTCGCCGAATGACACGCGTGTACGCATGGTTCAACGCGCGCAGGAAGGGAACAGTCACGACAACGCACTGGGTGTGAAAGAACAAGCGGCTGTGAATGAACGACTCTTTCACATGGTGTTTCGTGGACACAGCAACAAACGGGCTGCCAAAAATCGTGCGTGCCAACGGCACATACGCACTCATTGCCGATTCGGCCCGGTGGTTGCCATCCTTAAGGCAAGTGCCTTTCAGGCTGATGTAGCTACCCAAATGCTTGAAAGGCACTTGCCTATTTCTGGTACTTCCCCAAATCCGCTGGCCCCCGTGTTGGACCACCAGGCTGTAGGACCAGGGTTTGCTGTTCCCTGCACCAGTTCCAGTTTCCAGTTTCCACTGTTACAATTCTGCTTCTTGTTGCTTACTGTTCCTTGTTGTAGACCGCGCGAGGGGGAGCCGAAAACCGCCCTGTGTGCACTTCCCGGGAGGGGTCTGAGAATTTCTGGTGGGGTCGAAATTGACACCCCTCACGCAGATCGGCGGGGTCAGGGTCCAACAACATATGGGATTTGCCACATTTCTGAAATTCGGCGGCGCCTCTTACACAGATCTGTGGGGTCAGGGTCCAAAAACCCATGGGATTTGCTACATTTCTGAAATCCGGCGGCACCTCTCATGCAGATAAACAGAGTCAGGGTCCAAAAACCAATGGGATTTGCCACATTTCTGAAATCCGGCGGCGCCTCTCACGCAGATCGGCGGGGTCAGGGTCCAAAAACACAAGGGAATTGCTACATTTCTGGAATTCTTTGGCACCCAAGGCGGCGCCAAGGCCTCATGATTTCGCTCTTGCATTGCCCATTATCCGAGAGAGGGGGCCGGCGGCAAAGGGCGAAACCCTTACGGATTTATATGGGTTCTTGGCCCGTTCCGCTGGCCCCGCGGAAAAAGCTCGCAAAGAAGGCCCTTCAGCGGTCTTTCCGCCTAAGGTGGCCCCAATCGGGTCTCCAAGAAGGCCTTGGTCGCCATCAAATCGGCCAAGATAGCCTAAATGGCCTCCAAGATGCCTAAATGTGGTTCCAAGAGGGCTGAGCATGCTCCTGAGACCACCCTCGATGGCCTCAAGGCGGCCCAAGACGCCCTCAAGACGCCGCAAGATCTCCATATGAGGACCCCCAAGAGGGTCTCAAGAAACGACAAGACTTTCCGTGTTCTCGCCTGTTCAGGCTTCTGACAGCCCAAGACGGCCCAAGACGCCCCCAAGATCCTCCCACCACTGCTTTGAAAAGGTCTTTCAGAAAGCCCAAGAGGGCCCCCAAGCGGCCCTGAAGGGCCCGAAGGGGGGCCGCAGACAGCCCAGACAGGTCACCAACACTGTCCCTGAAGGCGCCAGACGGCCAAACATCGCCCTGACACGATCGCAGAGAGTCTCAAGATGGCCTGAGCAGGCCCCAGGAGGCCCCCAAGAAGGCCTGAAAGGAGCCCCAAGACAGCCCCAAGGCGGCCCCAATGATCCCTTCAACGGGTGGGGGACATGCAATACACTAGCGTGGCCTCGCTTCCGTCCAAAAGGAAAGGGGCGGCCGTGACTCGCCGTGGGAATCTTCGATATTGAAAGCGCCGCATACTTCAGCAACACCCCTCATCTCTCGTCCTGTTGCTGTGCCAACTTGGACCGCCTCGGCTCCTAGGCTGGAGCGTCGAAGCAATCTGGGCCGTAGCACACGGGGCGAGAGGGTATGCCGGGGACGGCTCTGACACTCTGGCGTGACGAGCCTGCACAAACCCAAATTCTTGGCTCTGCAGCTTGAGCATGCCGCACATGGCCAACAGGCGGTGCGTTGCACTTTTACATGCCGCTGGCAATTAGATGCCTGCGCGAAATCTCTGCCTTTGCCTCCTACCCCCTCTCTCTTTTCTCAACCTCGTCCTGCTCTGACAAAGCAGAGCGGTCACCTCTGCCGGAAGTGGCGGCGTCTTCGGAGCAGACTCGTACTCGGCGTCCAGATCTGCCATCATCTTGAAGTCCTCAAAGTATACCTTTGGTTGAACAACGAGCAAGTGGCCACGGACCTTGCACTCCCCGTCCCCTGCACATCAAATGTACGACGGCGGGTGCCTGGGCATCCGCAGACAGACACTCGTTGTGCAGGACTATAGACTTCTCTCGCGGTCCCAAATTCCTCGATGTAAACCCTTTTATGAAGATCCTGGTCCTGGATCTGCCCTGCGCAAGCGGAATCCTGAGGGAACCAACGAAAAGAACGATTTGATCAAATGTGATCGCCGTGGCTAGCAACTAGATCCTGACCCCAAAGCCTTGCCGGTACAAGATCTGGGTGCACTCTGGGTGCTTGAGAAGGGTTGCGAAGGCCCTGGAGTGTCCAGGCTGCCACTGACTTGGCCCCTGCAGACAACAGTGCGGCAACGTGCGAACTAATACAGCGGATTGATGGCGATTGGCATCTGTCGGCCGAGCCTTCTTGATGAGGGCCACCGACTCGTCGCTGAAGTGCTTGGGCTTCAACTCCCCGCACGGGCCCTTCGTCTTTGTCCACGACCGCTGGCCAGTGTCCAATCGCATAGGGTATCCGTGTCCAGCCCAGAAGCTATTAATCTCCTTCAGGCAAGAGCATACGCATCCCCGTTTCTTCCACGGAGGCGCGAAAATGTACCGAGGGAGTGGGCAGGAAGGGGCGTGCAGGGAGGACCTGTGCACAAGGTGGCAACCGACCCTGTGCATAGATGCCCCACGCCTGGGAGATTCAGTGTAAGTGAGCCGTGCGCAAACCCAATTAGGGAAATGCTTCTAAAACGACATAGCTTGGCATTGCACGTCCTTGCTTGGCTCTGCATTGCTTTGCGTTGCTTGTCATTGCTTGGCTTTAGATTGCTTAGCGTTGCTTTGCATTGCTTGGCATTGCTTGGTATTGCTTGGCGCTGTTTGGCATTGCTTTGTATGGCTTCGCACTGCTTGGCATTTTACTGCATCACTTGCATGGCTCGGTATCGCTTGGTTTTGATAGGCATTGCTTTGGCATTTGTACGCATTACTTGGCGTCGGTGTCAAAACAATAGAAAATCAAAACTAGAAACCCGGGGAACCCTGGAGAACCCCCAAAAACAGGCTTGCAAAAACAGTAGGGAAAATCGAGGGGACCTAGGGAACCTGGGGAACTCCGAGGAACGCGAGAAAAGCTGGCCTTTCAAAAACAATGAAGGTGCATCATCAAAAGGACCTGGGAAACCTTGAGAACCGCGAGGAACGCCACTGCAAAGAACCCGTGCCAGGGAACCCCGGGACCCCGCTTGTAAGGAAACAGAACGGTGGAACCCCGGGGAACCAGGCTCGGCCAGGTTCAGCAATCACAGGTCCATTCAACAACAAGTAGGACCTCTACGGCAAATCCTAATAGGGGAAGAAGACCCCCTCACCTCGACGATGTCGATGTATGAACGATGTGCGATGCTTATCATTTCGTGGAGGGCAGGGTGCTCGAGGATGCACAAGCTGCTACTCTACGGGAGTATTGGGATATGAGAAAGCAAACATTGAAGCATGAGTTCAGGGAAGTGAACCCATGGGAGCGGTGCCCAATACAAACTTCCTGCCTGCATCGTGCCGTTGCCCTAATCGCCCGCTCGCCTTGGTTGGGGATGCCCGCCGGTCCTCGTGAAACCGCTCGTATCTCACCACCTTGGTGCACCATCGTTCGCCAAAGCCCGCCGGCCGCGAGCCTTGGGCTTGTTTGTGGGGCGTGGATGCGATCAAATTTCGGCAAAGGTTCGGCGCTCCTGACTACGCAGCAGAGGCTCTGGTTGACGTCCTCGGGCACTCGAGGCTAGGTCCACTCTTTGAAGAAGGGGTCGAGCGCCATACTCACAATATCCTTGAGATCGTTGGTGGGGAAGATACCATGTATGTCAAGGAATCATGAGGACGTATGTCGCAAGCCCTGACCTGCAACTCGGACGTGTCCCAAGAAGCTCGGCGCGTCTGAAGAGCTGGCGGATATCAGAGTATCCTCAGTGTTGTATCCGAGGAGCGACTGGAAGCGGAGGAGCACATCCACACGACAGCTTGATTGCGTGGTGCTTGCACAGATGACCATTCATCTGAAAAACGCATCTTCGGTATCGGCTGGCATTTGAAGCTGGTCACTGGCAATAACAGCTGCTGGTACGCTTCAGGTCAAGTGCGGAAGAGCTGAAGCGCGCGGGAATGCGCTCCTCGATCGGCCAAGCCGCGTTCGACATGCCTGTGAGGCTCGCCCGCTTCTGCTTCAGCGGCGGTGGCGCGGCCCGAATGCAACGTGCCACAAACCCCATGGTGTGTTGATGCATGAGAAGCCGTTCATCGAAGAAGACATGCCGACGCACATGTCGACGTCGCCAATGGTTTCATGAATAGCCCTCATAATCGTCAGCGAGCGGCCAGAGAAGCCTTCGACGCATCTCCCTTGGATGTCAGTTGCCACAGACGCTCCCGAGAGATCGAGAGGGAGGGGGAGCACTCCCGATTCTGTGCGTTGGCTGCGGGTGGAAATCAACAAAAACATTGGCGGCTGGCGGGGTATGCGTAAGCCTGCATATTCACTTTCGCGTTCTTTCTGTCCCATGCGTAAACAAATCCAGCCTGCCACCGTAGGCAACATCGATGCACAATGCAAGGGACGAGGCAACACCAGCGCGACAAATATTATCAAGCACGAGAAGGATGGTTTGAGAGAGGGGGGCGGTAGAGAAATTTAGGCACACACTCAAAGGTCGTAAGTTATACATATACGGGTCTGCATGCATATAGACATATGTATATACAAGACTTGAAGATCGCTGCGCTTCGTTTTTTTAAGTCTTGGCATGGTGCACGAGTGCGCGGCGTGCGGATCGGTGCGTTTCGGTGGCATGGGGCAGGCTTCATCCAAGTAAGCTTGAGTCTGCAGGATCGGATGATGAGAATGGTGAACGATTGCGATGTGGAGGGGCGTGGGACTATGATGATTGTGATGGTGATGATGCTGCTGATGATGATGCTGCTGATGATGATGACGATGGTGGTGAGGATGGGTATGATGATACTCATCATTATGATGGTGATGATTGGCGTCTGTCGGAGGTGTGAGGTGCATGGGTTTGGGAGGTGACGGGCCCGGGGATGCCTTGTGGGAGCGTCGTGGGTGGAGTCGTGGGGGAGACAGACGGCTTCAAACACCTGTCGGACGTGTAGGGTGCGGGGGGGTGGGAAGGTGACGGGAGGTTTCTGATTAGGGGGGCCTTTCAGGGGTGGATGGCAATAATGGGGAAAACGCCGTCGAGATGGTCGTTGAGATGCGCTGAGATGTGGGTCGAAAGGCGTGGGGTGTAGGGGGTCGGGAAGGTGGCGGGGGTCTCTAAGTAGGGGAGGCGATGCAACGTCTTGGGGGCTTCGTGACGGCTTTTTTGAGGCGTGCTAATAGTCTCTGGGAGCCTTTTGGGGCTTCGTCGGGGCCTTTTGGCGTGTGTGGGGGGCCTCGTGGGAGCCTCGTGGGCAATCTCTGGGGGGACAGAAGGGGCTCTGGAGCCGGTCGTAAGTGTGAGGTGCAAGGGCTGGGAAGGTGACAGGGGGGGCCTCGTATGTGCAGGAGCCGGTAGGAGTGTGATTAAACTTAAAACCCCCCTTCAAGGCTGGATGGCGATAATGGTGAAGGCGCCGTCAAGAAGGTCGTGGAGATAAATTGAGATGTGGGTCGAAATGCGCGGGGTGTAGGGGGTGGGGAAAGTGGTGGTGGTCTCTAGGGGAAGGCGATACAACGTTGCTAGGAGTCTCTGCGAGTCTTTTAGGGCTTCGTCGGGGCCTTGTGGCGCGTGTTGGAGGCCTCAGGGGCAGCCTCTTGGGCGGTCTCTGGGGGCAACATATAGGGCTCGGGTGGACGGAGTCGTGGGGGAGACAAAAGGCTTGAAGGCCGGTCGGAGGTGTGGGATGCAGGGGGTTGGGAAGGTAGGGCGTGGGGTGTAGGGGGTCGGGAAGGTGGCGGGGGTGTCCAAGAAGTAGAAGCGAGGCAACGTTGTTAGGGGTCTCTGGGAGCATTTTGGCGCTTCGTCGGGGCCCTGGCGCTGGGCGCCTCGTGGGGGGCCTCTAGGTGAACATTGAGGGCTCGGAAGCTGGACGGAGGTGCGGGGTACGGGGGGTTGGGGCAGTGACGGGGGGCTGTGGGGAGGGACGTTTCAAGCCTTTGGGCCCTCTTGCGGGCCTTTTGGAGCCTTCTGGGGAGCCCTCTGGGGAGCCTCTGGCGGCCTTTCGGGGGGCCGTATGGGGACCTCTGGGGGGCTCTCGGAGCGTCTTGGGGCTTCTTTGGGACTTCTTGGGGCTTTTTGGGACAACATGGGGCCTCTGGGGGAGTCTTGGTGGCACCTCGGGACCCTGTCAGAGGGCCTCTTGGGGGCCATTTTGAAGCCTTGGAGGTCAGAGGCGGGAGCGCGAGAGGGCGAACATGATCAATTTCCCATACGTTTTGGAAACACTTCGGTCTCTCGGGGGCGTGCTGGGTGGCCTCTGAAACCCTCTGGGAACTCTCTTGGTGGAATGTGGGCCTGTGTCGAGGTTACCGTGAAGGATCTTGGGCCACTCCGCGAGGTTCGGGAGGCCCAAATGGCGGCCCAAGTGGGGGCTCCGCAAGGTCTGGGAGGCCCAAGTGGCGGTCTGAGTGGGGCACCAGAGAGAGCCTCAGGGACATGTAGGGCCTCCGGGCCCGCTTGGGGGAGGGTGCCGCCCATCTGTGACAGCTTCCTCGTGTGAAACATTACGATATTTACATATGCATACATGTGTATATATACACATATATATGTACACACGTATATGTATGTGTGTAGATGTGCAGATAAACATGCATAGGCGTATATGTATGATATCCGCTGGCCCCTTGGGGGCCGCCAGGCTGCGAAACGTAGGTGTTCCGGTTTCCTGCAATCGTCCCAGTCCTCACTTTTACATTCCAGGTATTCGATTTCTAAGGTCACTGTTGTAGTGTTACTGGGCGTGGGCCCCAAACACTTAGTTATCCCAGTATGGATGGGTACGCTATGTGGTGCAAGCTATGTGGTGCAGTTGATTGTGTACCAATGAGTTGACACATCCCATGCTCTTGCAAACATCCCACCCACCCACCCGCAACTTGGTTTGCAAAACCCATGCGGTGGCGATTGCGATGCATGCTTGGCGTTGGCTGGTGCATCTCTGCGGCCGCGCCAACCCTAGCACGCGCGCGCAGCGGCCAGCTAGTTTGGCGTCACCGACGCGGCCGCGGTGGCACTAACCGTTGGGCGCATCCCAACGGGCACTTCACTGCGAGTCGGCGACTTGGGCGGGCGTGGTATCCTGGCAACGCCAACTACGGTAGACGCGATGATGATCGTGGCGATGCTGGTGACGATGCTCGCACCGACGAAGGCGAGGCCAGTGCGGGAGCCGATGATGATCACGCAAAAGACGATGACGGCGTCCTCGCGTCGGTGCTGAATGTTTTGGAAAGAGTTGGACATGCTCGCGCGGTCGACGCGCGAGAGTGGCCCGCATGGTTCAATTTGACACGGATCATGCCCCCCCAGCACGTACTCAAGGGTGTGCGAATGATGTCGGCATGCGGCGCCAGAGGTCCGTTGGCAGAATTCCATGAAGATATTGAAACACCGATGGTTTTCTCAAGAATCCGCCAAAACGCTTGATTTGTTTTGTTTGAAAGCTGGTCTCGCAAAACCCGGTGTTCTTGACTGTTTTTGGGCATTCGGTTTTGAAATCGCTACGACACCGAAAATTATTGAAGGATTCCAGCATGCGCGCGCGACGACGAGCGCGTGTGCACTTCGTTTCACTTTTGTAAAGGATTCTCGCGACGGCGCGCGCGCAAGGGCGTTCGAACGATTTCGACATGCGCGCGCGGCGCCCGTTTGGCCGTATTTTCTGAAACAGATTGAAAAACCAGGGTATTCTTAAGAATCGCAAGCACGCGCACGTTTTTTGTTCAACAAGAAAACCAGTGTTGCGAGACCATGATAATTATATGTATATACTGTTTGGAAAGTCGATCTTGAATTCGCTGCGGCACCGAAGGCTGTTGAAGTATTTCGGCATGCGCGCGCGACGACGCGCGCGTGTGCACTTGGTCTCATTTGTTGCAAGTGAGTCTTGACAACTGATATGTCTTTTGATAAACGAGTGTGCGCGCATAGAATTTGTTGCAGAGGATGGCGGGGGGGGGTCCGTTACAGGCTGTGCTAGGATGGTATGAGTGCGTTTCTGATGGGGCAGAACCGACTGCAAATTGCAATGCGAAAAGGTGGATCGATAAAGCGGGGCGGGTGGATCCGAATTCTTTCTTAGAAAGGAGAATTAATGTTTGGCAGCGCAGCTGATGAGTTGTCAACTCCACTGCTCGCGCATTTATACCACCCTCCCAGCCGCAACTTGTTTGGCAAAACCCATGCGGCCGCGATTGCGGTGACTGCTCGGCCCCGGCTGGCGTATCTCTGCGGCCGCGCTGGCGCGTGCAAGTTCGCGCGCAGAGCGGGCAGCTGGTTTGGCACAACTGATGCGGCCGCGATGGCGCTTGCCGATGAATTCCCAATGCGTCTCAGAAGCCGCGTTGGCGCGCTGGCACGTCCGTGCGGGTCGGTGACTCGGGCGGGCGCGCATTGATGATGATGATCATGAAATTCGCCATGGTGGTGGCGATGATGACGATGACGGCGGCAAGGCCGATGCTGGCGCCGATGCTGGTGACGACGATGAAGATGATATCCATGTGTCGGTGAAGAAAATGATTGATCGATGATGGCAGCAATGCCGGCGATTGGCGATGACGGTAACGGCGGTGATGCGATGGTGCTGATGCGGGCGATCGTGAAGAAGTGCGAGCGCAGAAATTCAAGAAAACAGGCAAGGTCGTTGGTTAAAAGTAAGTGGTGCTTCGCTGTTTTGACTAATTCGATCTTGAAATCGATTGATAAACGCTGTTTTTGGACAGATATCGACACGAGCGTGCGGCGGCGCGAGCGCGTGTTCCGCATGGTATTATTTGACACGAGTTCGTGCACTGCGCGCATGCTAGACCAACGCAGATGCAACGCGTGGTGCGATGAGAAGTTGCGTTTTGGACGGGGTTGCAGAACTCATATGGTTCTCATCTGATAGCAACATGTGCATCTGGGCAGACAATCTGAAATCTTGATGTCTTGATGATGAAAACCCAGAAGAGTGTTAAATGCTTTAATGTTGATCTGCTTGCAGAACGAATGTGTGTTGGTATGGGCTTGTCATGTGCGTACGCATGTGGACTTTGCGCCTTTTTTCCTCGCAATGGATTTCTGAATTCTGAAATTGCGCGCGCATAATGTTAATAGAAAATCATTCCGGGGGGCGGTAGCGGTGGGACTGGGAAGATATGAAGACAGATGGAAGATGGGCGATGAAGCAGAATAGTGTGAAAATCGCACCGTCCCAAGGCGGCCAGATAAGTCCGGGCTCGGGAGAGGAGGGTGGATCCTGTTTTCTCTACAACAAAATTTACGCGGTGCAAGCTAGAGGTGGCAACGAAGCAACAACGGCCGTCAACGTGGCGAAACCTCGCTGGACCCACCCAGCGCACAAAGCAGCAACGA